TCTACTCTCCAAACCCACTGTACTTTTCGTCTCAATTCAACCACCACCATGATAACCGCCGAAATCATTGTTTTCTATATATATATATATATATATATATATATATATATATATATATATATAGTATTTTAGTATTATTTGCTCAACACTAAGCTCGATTCTTCTCTGAATCAACTTGTGTGAAAGAATGCCTCTTATCAAAAGAGGAAGAAAGATGGGGGAGATGAAAGATTAGATGTCGACATCTGTGTCGAAAGATGTCGATCAAAATTCCCTTTTATTCCATTCATCTTTCAACCAAAATTCTTTCTGCCAAAGCCATGTTTTACGAGGAGCCATTGTTGTGTAGTAAGGGATCGGAGCTGAGGCTCTCATCTGGCTCTTCACTCTTCAAAAGAGACAAAACTCTAGTACCAGAAGGTGAAATCGTCCACCCTAAAAATGATAAATTATGGTGACTCAGTTGATCAATAGCGATTAAACTTTTGTTCATTACGCATTAGGAATCCCTCATTTTGAGAAGTTTTTCCCACATAACCCGACATTACCCGTTGGTCAGACACAATCATTAGTCTCTTATAACAATTTCACTTTTGTAACCATTTGAGCTGTAAATATGGGCAAATAAAGTGCCTCATTAAAATGAATCATTTCAATTGAAGTTGATGGGATAATTAATAATGGATCCAAACCAACCCTTACTACATGTACTTACAAATCTCAATTTTACTCATTGATATGACCGACTATGATAAATTATTTTTTTCACTTGGTACCAATACAAATATCTACATCAAAATTTTGTGTGTGAAAATACAAATATAATTAAGAGTAGAAAATAAGAATATACATAGCATTTTCCAATACATTATCCCAATTTATTCCAATTACTTTAGTCAATTCAAAGGCATACAATAGTCTTGTTTGAAATGTCTTGTCAACCTATAGATAATAGTCTCAACCAAGACATCTCAGAAAATCTGACTTGACAAGAAGTACATACATAGCTAAGAACGTTGCAAAATACAAGTACTATTTGTACTATATGTACTCCAAGATTCAATGGCATATTTTCCCTTCCGGCCATCCACTCAGTGCATGCCGCATCTGCAAATGTGATTTCAAGAGCATCAAATCAAACAAAGCTAAAAAGGGTACGGACCAAAAGATTTCCTTTCCCAGCTGTTCTTGAAATCTATTGCGAATATGAATAGAGGGGGACCATGCATCCATGAAAAAATTAAGAGAAAGAGAAATGAATTGAAGGAATTGTGGTGGCATATGCTTCCTGGTTCTTGGCATATCCCAAACTCAGGTGCGGACCTATTGCCATATATAAACCCTCCATATGGTCATCTTTATGTGGCAAGATAATGAAGCTGCATGCGTTCAATAATGCCATTTCAAAACAGAAAAATATTGATTGAGTAATGTGGTTAATTGCATGGCGAAAAGTGGGAATAGGAATAACAGTGCAATTCTCCTTAGGCATGGTAATGGAAGGCTATGCAGCATGCATAAAATTCAACTGCATATGCCTCTTTCCTTTGCCAAAGGAGAATTGCCCTGCCATTCAATTCCCTCCCACAATCATTTTTTATCTTATCTGCAGGGAAATCCATGCCAGAGTCAGCGTGTAGATTATCATCTTGCTTTGTGTTGGACGGCGGCTTGGAGAGTCGGGCCCAGCATCGTACCATTGAAACGTGGCGCTGACTACTATGCAAGTATAATGAAAAAAAGTTACACTTTTGTTAGTTACTTGCTATAACTTTTGTAGTGATAACAACTGATATCAAATCATGTTGTGCAGTTGAGACTGGTATGTGCTAGGAGATAGTTGTTATCAAATCATGTTGTGCAGTTGAGACTGGTATGTGCTAGGAGAGGTAATATATGACATATTTTAGACAGGACAAATTGTTGACGTAATACGCTGGATTGAGTTAGTTATCAAATCAAGAGTTTTTAATTTGACAATTCATAGTCATTTAATTAAAATTTTTTTATGATAATATTGTTCATTTAATTTTTTTTTTTTCCAATCCCCGTGTCCAACATTACGATTAGGGATACAATTTGTGAAGGTACGTGCTACACGAGTGTAAGGACATTATTAGTTCGAGATGTTTTGAAGCTAATGACATTACACTTTATTCTTGGGATAAAGAGTAGAGTAAGAGATAGATGCAGCTTTCAATGATGTCTATGATGATGTAGTTATCTTTTTCAAGTCGCTATAAATTTTTTTTTTTTTAATATGACAAATGGAAAACTTGTAATTAGTTGATTTTGTTGTGAGTTTGTCTCTGTTTTTTTAAGAGTTGGGTCAATGTGTTTCCTTTATTTGTGTTATTGATTTTTTTTAATTGGGGTTTAATAAAATTCTTTAATTAAAAACATCAATAGCATTACTCTTTAAAAAATTGATAAATCTATTACTATCATAAGTATGAGACTGTCCAATTAATTAAATATCAAGAATCATACGTGATAGTGTGGGCTAAGTTTATTGAGTCGTTATGCTGTGCATCCGTGTGCACCATGCATGGTGCACACGAATGTAAAAACGACGTCGTTTTGACGTCGACTCAAAAAAAAAAAATTCGGAATTGCATAATTACGTATTCATAATTTCATAACTATACATCCAGAATTGCATAACTATACATCCAGAATTGCATAACTACACATCCATAACTTCATTACTATACATCCAGAATTGCATAACTATACATCCATAATTGCATAACTATACATCCAGAATTGCATAACTACACATTCATAACTTCATTACTATACATCCAGAATTGTATAAGTACACATCTATAACTTCATAACTATAAATCCAAAATTGCATAACTCCATAACTATACATTCAAAATTGCATAACTACACATCCATAATTTCATAACTATAAATCCAGAATTGCATAACTATACATCCATAATTTCATAAGTATACATTCAGAAATTATGCACAACATAATGTTGTTGACGGGAATCGAAATTGATTTTTTTTTTTTAAAGTTGGATGCGCGAGTTTTTAGTAAAAACGACGTCGTTTTTGAATCGGTATACACCATACATGGTGCACACGGATGCACAACATAATTTGCTAAGTTTATTGACTAACACTAGAGAGATGATAATACAAGTCCAAATAAACGGGCATAAAAAATACACGTTATAGGGGTTGAACTCATATAGCCCATGGGTTATCCACTTCCAAAAGATAATAATTTTTTTTAAATTTACCCTTTCATTTCTTTTTTTTCTTTTTATTATTATTATTATTATTATTATTATTATTATTAGGCTAAAGTGTCATCCCGCACCATAAACCCTAACCGATTCTTCATGCCGTATCCTGATCTTTTATAACTGCTATTTCGATCCACAAACTAAAAAAATTTTGTCCTCTAGCCTTTTTTGCAGGTTACCATCAAGTTACCATTATAAGTGGAGGTGTTTTTTTTATTAACTTATTTAAATATGTATAAATATGACATGTCATTTTTTTTTTTACTTTCTCAACATTTTTTCTCTCTCCCTTCTTCTCCGGTTGATCTGTTCCCGTTTACGACATAATCCGGCGAGGCGGGGCAACTACGTTCAGCGTTTGGAGGATCGCTTTCTTCATTCCGGAATGACTTCACGTCGTGATGGGGATTTTGGTCCTCACCCTCGGCCAAGACTTGCCGGTGAAACTGGGATTTTCGGCTCGACGGAAGTTGTCTTACACTGTAAAGCTGCCAAAGATGTGTGGGCCTGTTCCCCCTTCACCAACACTGTAAATACATTCCAGTATGGCTTGGATGGTTGCAAGTTGCAACAGTAAAATCCCAATGGCCTTCATCTTCAACTCCATATGGTATACCCGCAATGGTCACAAATGGGAGAACACCCCTCTTGATCCAATGGTAACGTGGAGAGCTGCTGATTCTCAATACTCAAGCTGGACATCGGCACACAACAGAACTACAATCTACAAGGTTACGAATATAGCTGTCCAGGCCAGTCATCCCGGGAAGTAATATCCTGACGACGATAAGGCGGCGACTAACCGTAGCAGCTCGTCATCGGTCATTTTGTGCGGCTCCAGAGACTTCTTTTCGTCTAGGTTCGTACTAGCATTCAAGGGTGGCCGCGGCAGAGGTGGATCGGAGGACTTTGTGGGTGGTGGTGATAAAAATGAAGAAGGCTATAGATCGAGATTGCTACGCACAGACCAGACATAGGGAGCGCCGGAGAAGAAAAAAAAAAGAACAGAGAAGAAGGAGGGAGGTCAAACTTTGTTTTTTAGTTTTTTAATTAAAAAAGCTTACCTGTACTCCATCTCACATTTGTAATTAAAATCAATAAGCCACATCAGATACTACCTGTTCCATGTCATCAGGTTTACAGGAAAACCTGCTAAAAAGGCTGGGCGACAAAAAAAAATTAGTTTGTGGATCGAAACAGCAATTATGAAAGATCAAGGTGCGGCATGAAGAATTGCATATGGTTCAGGGTGCAGAATGACACTTTAGCCTTATTATTATTATTATTATTATTATTATTATTATTATTATTGTTATTAAATTTTAATGTTCAATCATGAATGACTGAATTTAGTGGATTGTTATTTTGTTACTTCACTTACTCAAAACTTGGAACTTGTAACTTGGAACAAATTGTGATCAAGTTTAGAATTAAGTATTGTGTATTATATTCCATATTTTTAGTATTTGTGTAATGAAGTGTTCTGTTAGTTTTTTAAAAACTTAATAAATGCATAATATTATTATATTTCAGTTTTTGGAAGCTTGCAAGTTGCAACCACACTCTCCGTACAAAAAGGTTGTCGAATTGGCAGTCTTTTTGTACAACTTTTTATTTTTTAATTCATATTTTCTTTATTTGGTTTTTTTCTTTTTATTATTGTATTTCTTTTTATTTTATTTTATTTTATTTTATTTGTATTATCTAATTAAATTATTATTATAAAAAAATAACATATTAATAAATAAGTACACAAAATTTTCATTTGATTTATAAATACATATACAATGCATACAAATTAAATTCATCATACACTTATTACTCATCTAATAATTTCTTCATATTTGTTTTTATTTCCTACTTTTTAAAATTTAAAAGATTTCAATTATATTTTGAATTTGTAAATCTTAATTGAGTTTTAGTTTTATCATTTAACATTTCCCTTGCAAACTGGATATAGTTGTCCACCTCAGACGAGTGGTGCGCATGCAGACTTCGCGGGATCCCACATGGCTGGGAGCAAGAACTTTCGCTTGTTCGCACCATGCGCATTGTAACTGGCCCCCGTGGTCTTATCTACCAGGACTTTACCAGGGTTTCCCGGGTAAGACCCCGTCCCGAACATCCCCGTGCAGGCGCTGACTGCCTCCATCGAAGCCTCGGCTGGACCTTGGAAATAGCCGTTTTTAAACGGGTTCGTCACGGTTCCCGCCAAGACGGTGGCGAGGTTGATGATCATCCCGTCGATGCCAACATCTCCGTTGGGCGCGACTAGAGGAGGTGTCTGAGGGCCCTGAATGGGCTTATGAAACGGCCATGCACATTGCCCCGGGCATTGAGTCTCCGAGTTACCCACCCAGGCGTATGCAACCTGTTTCTCCCCTGCCGTCGACCCGTGAGAGCCACACCTCTTGCAGAACCCGTCCACAGAAACATCTTTATCGGTCAAGACAACATTAACACACCCCTCAGTATTCCCACCCTTGGACGCCAATTGCACAATTTGGTCATCCTTGAGTGTCTTTCCGAGCGAGCAGTTTTCCTCGAGTATTTGTTTTCCAATGACTATAGTGGAGGGTCCTCCACCCTTATACTTCTCAGTGGTCTTCCACCAAGACTCAACAGAAGGCGTCGGAGCATCTACCGTCTTAAGGGACTCAAGAAAATCAACGATTATAGAGCGTTGGGTGGGCGTGAACTTCCCGTACCATATAAGATTAACGGTGATCGAGCCCTTCAAAAGGGTGCCTTTGTGGTACTCGAGGACAACCTGCGGCTCCTTAACTAGTTCCCCAAAGGATGGCTCCGGAATGACAGCGAGAAAACAGATGAGCAAAGCAACGGCGGAGGCCGTGGCACAATTGTTAATGGCAGCCATGATTGATAAGGCCAGAGCTTTTAGATGGAAGGAAGATTGAGCTTTGGAATTGTTTGAGAAGGGAGAAATGGGAGGTGTTATATATACAGTTCTGCCAACCTCAAAGCTAAGCTTTTCCCGGACAATACAGACCGTAGACCTCATTTAATGGTCAAGAGTTCCTAAACAATTTCGGTCAGAGAAAAGAAACAAATAAATAATTTGTTTTTATTTATATTGACTAAAATAATAAACACACGAACTTACTGTGTTTTTGCATGAATTCTATTAGTGCTTTGACATGAACCATCTATTGTATTTGGAAAGCTCATAACTTCCTATTATTAAGGATGGCAATTCTCCACTCCGCTCCAGCAGAGGGAGGAACAGGGAGGGGAATATTCTTTCTAATTTGACCGCACTCCGATTTTCTTATTTAAAATATAATATAGGCAAAAGGGTCAAATAGACCGATGTACTAACATTGATTGTTCATTTAGCACTATGAATTAAAATATGGTTTATCTAGGTAATTACACTCCCAATTATTTTTCATCTAGCATTTTTAGCAAGTTTTTAACAAATAACCCATCTAATTTGCTTACATGGAAAAATAAAACAAAACAAAATGCTATCATGTTATTTTTTTCATCTAACTTGCTGTTGTCACTTTTTTTGGCAGAAAAATTCAAATTTTTTTTTTTACGTATTTCCAGATTATGTTGATTTCTTCTACGAATTTTCCAGAAAAACAGTGAATCTATTTTTTCCGTCGACTGTGAAATAAGTATGTTACCATTTTTGTGGTTTTTGAACTCATGGCATTGGCATTGGGCATTGGTTTTTATTTTGGTTTTGGATGGTGCGTTTTTGAGGCTCTTCGGTACACACCTAAGATTGAGGAGTTTGAAAAAAGTTGGTTAATAAACTAAGGGACAACAATAATAAGTATATTGCTCTTCATTCACTACAAGAAAAATCGCAATTCGCGATGGAAAAATTCCGTTGCGAAAACGCGAAATTCAGTCGCAAATCACGTTTTGCGACGGAATTTGTCATTTTTGCGACGGAATCCATTCCGTAGTCTCAAGGCTTGTCGTATTTCATTTCATGACGGAAATAATCCGTCGCGAATGATGGCAACGGAAAATGGTGACGGAATTGTTCGTCGTGAAGTAGGCAACGAAAGTCATTCCGTCGCGAGTCCGTCGTGATTTTGGCAACAGAAATGTTTCTTTCTGTCGCCATTGCATGAAAAAATATTCCGTCGCAAAACTCATATTCCGTTGCAAATTTCTGTTGTGAAATATAACAACGGAAATAATTATTGTCGCGAATCCGTCGCTAACATTTCCATTGCAAATTTTTTATTCCGTCGTAAAAAAACGACGAAACAAATTGTCGTCGCTATTCCGTCGCAAAATTTTCCGTTGCAAATTTTGTCTCTCGTCGCACAAATTCGTCGTAAGAAAACGACGAAAAAAATTTCCGTTGTAATTCCATCGCTAGATATTCCGTTGCAAAATTTGTTTTCCATCACAAAATTTCGTCGTAAAATAATAACGTAACTAATCACTATTGTGATTCCGTCGCATTTTGGATGAAAAAAATCTTTTCGTCGCCATTATTACAATGAATATTCCATCACTAAAATTATATTTCATCGCGATTATGCTAATCTATTATTTTAATATTTTTTTTAATTATTATTATTTTGTTAAAATTCTAATATTTGTATTTAAATTGTTAATGTGCAAACAAAAATACAATATAATTTGTTGTACTTAATACCAAAGTGATGTATAAACAACAATATAGTAATTCATAAAAGAAAAATCAAATCAACGTGAATTCAGTCGTGATTAGGGTGATGATGAAGTACTAGCTTTCTCACTCTCAAGAGCATTTAATCTTTGCTGCATAAGAACCATAGAAGCCTTTAAATTCTCAATCTCATCTAGGACCTTTGCAGAATTAGCATTCTCTGATGGCTGCGAGGTTGATTCTATATTGTCCGATGTCTTAGCATTTATTAGACTAAGAATGAATGTACCATATGAGCCAAGTCCATAAACTCTTTTTTTTTATCATGTCCGCCAACTACATCATAGTACAATTGACTCTCATCTACTTCTTCTCCATTTGTATTAATACCTCCCGTTGCAATGCAATTTGTTCCTGCAAAAATTAAAAAAATTAGTACAATTTTTATAAAAATTCATATATATTCAAAGAAAATCAAGATAAATAAACTTACATGGATTTGTTTGTCTTTTTCAACTATAAATGTTTGGCCATCATGTTTTTTGGTATGTGTATGCTTGAATAATTCAAAATATGATGGACGGCGACCAAATTGTTTTTCCTAAAAATTAGTTAAAATAGAAACAAAATAAAATAAAAATTAAAACAAATAAGATTATAATATATAATAAAAATATTTCAAATATCAACTCAATAAGCATAATATAATATAATCACACTGTTTTTATCACAATAGTGAAGTTTCTACCAACATAAAAATACATAATTACTATTTTAAAATGAAAAAAATTTAGAAAAACTATTCAACAGAGTTTCCTTTATAAATAGAACTATCTCCAATAACACAAATATTAACTCAATATACACAATAAAATTAAATCACAATAATTTTATCATAATAGTGTCAATACAAATTTCTACCAACACAATAACGCATAATTATTATATAAAATAAACAAAATTCTGATAAAAAATTAGCATAGTTTCCTGTATAGATAGAACTATTTCCATGCTTAATATATAATATAAATATCTCAAACATCAGCTCAATAGGTACATTAAAATAAAATCACAAGAAGTTCATCGTAATAATATCAATAAAAGTTTCTACCAACACAATAACGCATAATTCAAACAATCCAAACATAATCAGTTATAATTTAAACAATTCGAATGAACTTACCAGTTGAGTGTCAACTTTGGAATGAGGTGTTGATCCTGTGGTATGCGTAGATTGAGCAACTCCATCTAAAACACCGCCACGTCTATTTCTCTTACCTAATTCTGACTTTTTCTTACTGTCTTCAGAATTCAAAACATCATTCCACTTTGTCTATATTTCTTCGTTGATATAGGGAGGTCTTGACTTTTCTTCATTCTACTTATATAATCAACATATCTTCTTTTTGCCTTCACTTCCCAAGCACTATACAATCTCAACTTCTTCAAATGAGATGTGATGACATTTTATACATGGACATCGAATTTTACTTCCATCCATGAAATCTGGTTTACTACATGCAAACTCAATAAATGTTTCTAATCTTTTTATAAAATCTGGATTAAGATCACCACGTTGAGTTCGCCTTTGATACATCCAACTTCTATCCATAATACTTATATGTAAAGACCTACACATATACATTCATATATTTAACAATCATTAGTGTTTAAAAAAATATTACTATTATCAATCTGGGATGCTTTCTTCTACAGTTGACTAGTGAAACAGAAACAATAAGGGAAGTGTAGGCTGTTGTAGATGTGCATCAAAGAAAAGCAGAGATAGCAAACCATTCAGATGCATTTATTGCCTTACCATGTTGGTATGAGATCTCTGTAGACATGTCACTTTTGCACTTAAATTGTTAGGCAAATCAACAGAAGCAAAAGGCCCTTCTTGATTTATTAATTTATGACCTTGACAGCATGAGAACTGAATTTTTTAAGATAGATTGTGCCTTATTGTTCTATAGGGAATTCTGTAATTGTGTAAGATGGTTTGTGAATTTCTGTGGTGATTGGTAAATTATATTTGGATGTCATGCTAATTGGATACATGGTAACATGATAGCATTATAATATGCAAGGTGATTTTCTTTTCTTTTTTTTTTTAATAGGTAACTAAATTAGAAGAAAAATAGGGGAGACACTACATATTTATTATTAAGTACGGAGTGGCTGATTTAGTCTTAATGGTCATGCCTGGGAAAAAATAGTCTGCTTAAAGATACAGATTGGTATGCTAAACATGTAGAAGATTGGTAATTTGGTATGCCTATAAGTGCTAAATATGCAAAAAATAATATGATTATTATCCAATATCCCTTTCATTATGGTAATGAAAAGTAATGAACTCACAACTAGAATAGCTAAACATGCAGAAGATTGGTATGCTTATAAGTTCTAAAAATAAAGCACATAGCACCTAACAGAAAGGGGGTATCCAAAGACCTTGAAATCTAGTGTTCAATCATTATTGCATGGACTATGGTCCACACAATTGTGTGGACCATAAATAAAAAGTACATTTTTAATATACTAAGGGTACATTATTTTATATAATGTATCTTCAGTACAAAAATAATATACTTTTAATATATTAAAAATGTACCTGATATTCATGGTCCACCCAATAATTTGCATTTAGCGTCATATGTTTTTTACTCTATTTTTTTTTTTTTTAAGATTTGGAGAAAAAAAAGAAGCACTACATACATCATGACTAATGTTGGAGCAGGGATATTTAGTGCATATAACATTTTTCATATTGATTAGAACCTGTGTGTGCGCGTGTAATATGTATGTATGCCTAATTGTGGTTAGAATTTAATTTGCGGAATGAAATTTCAACCGAGGAAAGATTTAACTACAAGCACAAATGCGCAATGGGAGCGAGGATTGGAAGAAATAGCATATTACAGGGCATGGTGGCTCACAGCTCTCAATTGTGTTCAACTTTCAGATTCAAGAAGCTGTTAATCAATCTGACCATTATATATACATTGTACACAAATAGCAAATATAAATCTATAATAGTACACACAAAAAATCTGAAAAGAATCTAACCTCGATCTTGATTGCCGTCTCGCCACAACCAGTTGCCACCTCGTCACCTCGTCGCAGCCCGTCTCCGCCTCGCTGCAGCACGTCCCAATCACGAATTCGCAAAATCGAGTCTGAAGCCGACGTGAGTCGCAGACGTGAGGAGAGTTAGAGATTTTTAGGAATTTAGGAATTAGAGATTGTTAGGAATTTAGGAATTAGAGATTTTAGGAATTTAGTTATTAGAAATTTTAGGAATTTAGTTATTTTAGGATTTTAGGTGTAAATTAAAATAAAATTTAGGATTTTAGTATATTAAATTAGGATTTAGCTTTTAAAATACTATATATATATATATATATATATATATATATATATATATAT